TTCTGCTGGCTGGCTTCCTGTCTCCAGTCACCACTTTCAGCATTCATGTGTGGTTCTGTTCCTTGAATACTGGGTCCCTGGGGCTCTTCACTCCCTGCTTTTGCTTTGGGGGAATTTTACACTCTTATGTCCCACCTTTGGGACAAACTTTTTCTTTTTTTCTTGCTTGGTTGGTGTGGTGGGTTAGCTAATGGTCAACTTGGAAACCTAGCTGAACTGAATCGATGCAGGGCCAGGTGTGGAAGCCCACCTGGAGACTGATGCAACTTCATAAAAGCAGAATTGGAAGGGAAGCTGGTGTGTTGTTGGTTCTCTTGGAGAAGCTTGTCATGCTGCTTTTCTTGACGTGAGCTCAGCTGTTCTCATCCTCTGAGGAACTCAGGTCCTTGCTGTCTCTGAGGATAGCTATGGTTGTCTTTGGGGGAGCTCTCATCCTTATCTTGAGCATCGTTTCCTAACTCCAGTGAAGATCCCTCAGCCCACTGTCACAGATCCTTCATCCCTCTGGCATAGACTTTCTAGCTTCCACTGCTGACCTTTGGGCCTCCCCAGGGCATATTCTTGATACAGACTTGCATGAGATGTTGTGAGCTCTAGGCCTCCAGCTGGACTCATGGAAGACAATGCTATGGGCTCTAGGTCTTCAGCTGGATTCATGCAGGACATTGCCATGGGATCCAGGCCCTCAGATGGATTCTGTGGGTCTCTAGTGTGTGGACAGATTTTTTGCATTCTTTTGCATTTGACTTTTTGAGTGAATGCTATAAAATAATACTATAAAATATGTATCCTGTATTAAATCCATTCCCTTGTAAACCCCGACTACAACAGTTAGTTTGGTTTTTATGCAGTGCTGGGAATCAAACTCAGGGCTTATAATGAGCTAAGTGGGATATGCCCTGCCCCACTGAGCTACATCCTCAACCCTGGCATAGACTTTCTGAACAGACCCTGGCTTTGTGGGCCCTGTAGTCTCTGTTGTACATACTCAGCTCTGCTGCTATCTGTGAAAGCAGCCACAGGCCATACAGAAATGAATGGGCTGGGCTGTGCTCCAAGTGCGATTTGTCTGCAAAGTAGGCTGCCAGCCCACTGGCCATGGTTTGTGGCCCCTGCTATAACTTATACTGCCGTATAACTTAGATCCTTTACCCTGGTCTCCGTACACATCTACCTATCCTCTGGGCTGCTCAGAGTTTGCTCAAACACAGCGCTGCCTGTATTCTACCACCAACACATGGTTTTTTCTTATAGTCCATCTTGTAATTGCTGGGGCCAGAAAACAGGCTGTGATTCCAACTCATTGTCCTTCCCCACAACCCACATCCAGTCAGTCACCACGTAGCCTAATCCCTAAAGTCATCTCAAGTCTTTTTCTTTGGCTCCATTTCCACTGCCATCAACCTGCTTAAGTGGTTGCTCCCGCCTGCCTGAAACTTCACATCACTGTCCTATCGCCAGAACCTGTGAATATGTTTCTTGCCATGCCAATGGGACTCTACAAGTGTGACTATCCAGGTGGGTCTGATGAAATCAAAAGGGTGAGAGGGAGCTACAAGGGTCAGCTCTAGGAAAGGGCTGTGACAACGGAAGCCAAGATTGGAGCAATGCCATTTAGAGATAGAGAAAGGGCCACAGCCCAAAGAATGCAGACACCTCTGGGAGCTGGAACAGATGAGGAAAAGTATTTGCCACATCAGCCTCCTGAAGGAGCCACCCCTTTAGCTCAGTGAGTCTGACTTTGGCTTTCTGACTCCGTAACTATAAGATACTATATTGTATTGTTTTAAGCTGCTAGATCTCTGATACTTTGTTATAACAGCAGTGAGAAACTGATGTACATCCTAGTCCTTCCTCCAATCTCACTCCACTCCAGCCTGCCCTCCATACCACCCCAAACACAAATATGATCTGTCATTCTTCTTCAAGAATGCTTCAGTAAGTGCCTCCATGCTTACGAGAAATTTCAAGCTCCTTACAGGACTGTTCCTCAGCTCCTACCAGTTTGTACCCTTGCCATACCAAATGTGGTTATGATGTGCTCACCCCATCTTAGTGGAATGCTCTGTTTAAGATTTATTTTCATGCCCTCTCTCCTCCCCCTCAATGCTCCAAGTTCCCTTCAGGTCTCAGTTTGACATCACTGGCACAGGGCACTGGTCCCTGACTCAGTCTTGAAGCTGGTCTCTCTGTTGAGGGTGTCACCTTAATTCCCTAGCACATCCCTGTCAATGTCCGTGTTATGACTCACATCTCTCCCGGTGGACCTGGCAAGTATGAATGGTGGGTCCTGGAGACTTACAGGGTGCAGGTGAGGGGTTCCAATATCATCTTATGTCCCTCAAGGAAAGAGGAAGAAAAACCCGGGGCAGAGAGATCTGGAGCTGACCTGCCCTGGATTTCCTTTCTTGGTGGAGAAGATGCTGGGAAGCGGAGCGGGGCGTCACTGCCCCACTGCCACAATTAGCTGAGCCTTTCATTCTCCCTCTACAAAGAGGAGAGAGCAAATCAAAGGGAGATAAAAGGGAACGTCCCACAAAGCACATTGCAATGAGGGAGAAGGAAGGAGCGTGGTGGGAGAGAGAGGCAGAGGCAGAGAGGAAAGCCCACGGGCCAAACAAAGACCTAAAACCAGCCGATCCCAAGGAGCAGACAACAGAGACAGAGGACAGGAAGAGGACCAGGCTGTGCAGACCTGGTTCCCTTCAGCCATGGAGGAGGGCACTGAAGCAGATGAAACACCTAGGTAAACGCCAGGAAAGAGGGCAGACGGGGCCCCAAGTGGAACCGGGACAAAAGCATGAAAGACAAGACTGCCACCATCCCATGAGCCACTGCACCAGGACAAAACAGAGAAGCTCTGGAGACAAAGGCAGAGGGAGGAGACGGAAGGGAGCGAGCCCGCCCTCATTGTGCGCAGGGCTGTCAGCGGGGCTCATAGCACTGTCCAAGGGGCTGCAGAGGCTCTGGCAGCAGAGGTAATCAGGACACTGGCTTATATTTGATGAAAGCAATCCTACTTGATGAGCTGTCTTGCCCTTAAACTTTAAATTCCTGAAATTTAAGAAATAAATATATATACAAGCAAGGTGACCTCAAGCTTTCCAACATGCATGTACACTTTTGTGTCTGGCTTTTTCTTATCGTCCTATGTCATTTGTGATGCGGTGAAGCTTTTATCATTGTTGTATAGTACTCCATTGTGTAAATATGCCATAGTTTATTTCTTCACCTGTTCTATCAGGTGAAGTTCCAGCATCTTTTGTCTGGGTCCACATGCAGTTTGGAGTTTTAGAAAGACAAGGTATGTGTGTTCTGTATCATACATCTCCCAAGCAGGGTCTGCAAGCCATGTGATCCAACATGTCATGGTTAATATCTGGATGTCTCCCCCAAAGCTTAAGCATTCATAGGCGGGGCTGGTTCACTGATGAGTTTATAGTCTGGGAGGTGAAGCCTAGTCTGAGGAGGTGGGTCAAGGGGGTGTGAGCAGAAAGGTCTATCCCCCATCCTCTTCCTTTGATCTCTCTCTCTCTCTCTCACTTCCCACTGCCTTGCTGAGAGCTATCCTATGTGATTTCTTTCTGCCATGCTGCTCTGTGTTAGAGCCAGCCAGCTGTGGACTGAAACCTCTATATCTGTGAGCTCAAATAACCCTTGTGGGTACCGAGTACAGTGTCTCAGGATGGGCCAAGTAACAAGACAAAGCACACGAATGTCTCTGCAAGGGAATGAATGAAAATTCGCCCTCTCAGTAGCTTCCTCTGAGTTCAGGTCACGTTTTCACCTCCAGATGAGTTCAGGCCAGATTGGATTATGCTGCCAAATAAGAGATGGCAGTGTTTTTTGTTTGCAAGCATTTTTGCATTGCAGAGTTCAGAATTAGCATTTTTTTTTTTTTTTTTTTTTGATACTGGGAAGCAAACTCATGACCTCGCACTTGCTAGGCGAGCACTTATGCCACTGAGCTAAATCCCTGGCCCCCAGAATTAGCCCTTTTGAGACTTATACTTTCCTAGTTCCCAATAATATTTGCTTGAGAAACTCTAGTAGAAAGACACCACCTTCTTTTTGGTTTTTTTCCCCCAGTATCTGGGATCAAACTCCCAATCTCACACTTGCCAGGAAGGCGCTTATGCTACTGAGCTATATCCCTGGCCCAAGACACCACCTTCCACACAGGTATAAAAAGCAAAAATCAGAAATAAAGCACCACCCCAAAAAAGAAAAGAAAGCCTTGAAGTTGTTTTTTGTTTTGCTTTTGGGGTTGTTTTGGTTTGGTTTGGTTTGGTTTTTTGCCATACTGAGAATTGACTCTCTGGCCTTTGCTCTAAGCCACACTCAGTCCTTTTCTTTTTCCCTTTCTTTTCCTTTTTTTTTTTCTTTAAGAGATTAAAACCAAACCAAACAGAATAAAGCCAAGCAAAACAAAACAAAGAAAGTGATACAAGACTTCAAAACAAGATAATAGGAAATCAACAATGGATACCATATTGCATCTCATTATATTTAAAATAGCTGCTCCAGGCCAGGGACTTAGTTCAGTGGCGTAAGTGCCTGCTTGGCAAATGAAGGTTGTGAGTTCAACCCCCAGTTCCAAAAAAAAAAAAAAAAAAAAAAAAGCTGCCCAGCCCACCAGACATAGACATGTAAAATTAACCAAACAATATAAGAACTAAGTTGAAATTTCAGGTTTGTGACCTCAAATTTGTATTGTCTGTATTTCCTGAACCTGTTCTGTGTGAGCTGAGCTCTGAGATTGTATTTTGCTCCTTCGTCCTGACATTTTCCTGTGTTTCTCTGAATCAGCCCATTGCTGCATCCTGGGCTCCTGCACTGGCTGCCAGTCCCTCAGAGCAGTGGACAGGAGTAGGCACCTGGGTCCCTCCTTCCAGGGCTCCTGGAGTGGTGGAGAAGCCTGGGGCATCGGTTCACTGATGCTCCCCTATGGCAGCGGGCCTCGGGGTGTGGCTTCTTCCCCAGACCCACACTGAGCTCTAAGCTATTTCTTTCTAATGAATTGATCATTAATATCCTAAGTTCTGAAATAGCCAACAGACCCTAGAAAGACTTCTCTTTAGGCTCTTGTTTGAAACCAGCAGCTACAACAAAGTGCTGGCCTTGATGTAGGGCCATCACACTCAATCCTTTAAAAAATTTGTTTAAAAAATGTATTTTACTAAATTGCCTAGAATGGTCCTGACCTTGCCCTTCTCCTACTTCGGCCTCCCTCAGTGCTGGACCACAGACCTCACCATGCCCAGCTCCCAAAGGCGTTTAAGCAGTGAGATACTGTCCAGAAGGGATTCAAAGCTGGCTAAACAGAAGTTCAAGCCCTGACTGGCTGAGAGGCACAGAATGCCACACACTGCTGGTTGGTCAGCTCTCCCTTACCGTGTCTGTTTGAGCACTGTAAACCTTTGTTTTTATCATCTCAGCTCCTAATTTTATAAGCTGGTTGTTTTACATAATTTTAAAAGATCACTTATTTCTTTTATGAAGTCTTTTAGTTCTCTAGCTCTGTCTTATCTTGATCATTCCTCATCTCTATTTTGTCCTTTATAAATTATATTACGTTCTTTTATCTCACCTTATCTTCTCCTGGCACTGTGATTGTTTTCTTCCTTCACAGCCTGTCTGGTGGAGGGAGAGTGTCACTCTTCTCTGATCTCTTGCGCCAGGATTGCCCTGTACCAAGAACATGCCCTTTCTCCAGAGGTTTTTTGTTTTTTGTTTTTTTGGGGGTCTTTTTCTTTTTTATCGGTACCGGGGATCGAACTCAGGACTGCCTGCTTGCAAGGCAGGCGCTTGTGCCGCTGAGCTAAATCCCCAGTCCCTGCCCTTTCTCCAGAGGTTTCCTTCAAAACTGCAGCTCTAGCTTTGACCAGGGATTCGCTGTGGGACTCTCAAAGGCTTGAGAAGCACTTGGTCTCAAAGCAGGTTTTAGAGATGGGGATTTAATTCTGGGCAAATATTTCTTGGTTATGGGAGATTAGAGCCCAGGACTGGTCAACAGCATGGACACCCTTTCCCATCCCCATTCGGTACTCACCGCGTTTTGAGAGCCCAAGGGTGGTGCGTGGCAAGGATGCAAGAACAAATCCTGAATCATTCCCCTCATGACTTCCACATTGTCCCCCTCAACTGCAGAGCCAGAAGTGAGGGTCTCTGTGTTCTAGCCATTGAGGATGGGCTTAGGAAGAAGCTGCCAAAGCATGGCCATGGCTCCTGTCTTCCCGATCTGACAGAGCTGCCCTTTAACAGCCAGAGAGACAACCTTGGACCCACTGGGAGGATGTCAGCTCACGAGGTGGTGCCAGAATAAAGACACTCCTCGTGACTGAAATTCCAGCACTTGGGAGGCTGAGGCAGGAAGACTGGCTTAGAGTTTGAGGCCAGCCTGGGCTACATAGTGAGACCCTATCTCAAAAACGATAAAAACAAAACAGAACGAAGACCCCAAACTCCAGAAAATGTATTGATGTGGGCAGAAGGGCTGGTTATCTCTGCTGGTAAGAGATGAGCTGAGTCCTAGCATACCCTGCGTCCTGAGGGGCTACACTGTCTCTCACTGCCTGAGCAGTGACTCCAAGAGTTGCTAGAAACCTGGAGGAGAGGCAGAAATGTGCCTGGGACTCTGAGAAGCCACGGCAAGCAAGCCTGGTGAGCAGGCATGGCCTGGTACTGAGCTGTGGACCCACACCGACATGTTAATCTCCTTTACAGTCCTGTGTGCCTCCCCACTCTTGTGTCCCTCTGGGGTCCCAGTTTTGTCTCAGGTTCCCACCAGACTGGCTTGGCTGTGAGGTGTGAGGGTGGCAGGTCCACCCTGAGGATGCTGGGGTGGGGTGGGGCATCCTGTCTTCCAGGCTTCCTCCCAGGTTGGTGGGCTCGAGGGGCTGGTGGCTCTGCTTGGCATCCCCAGGACTGCTCAGCTGCTGGAGACCTGTGTGCTGAGTCAGGGCTTGGTTGCATATTGCCTTTTATATTGTTTTAATAAGCCTTTTTATTTCTTCTAATTTACTTCATGTTTCTTATTGACTGTTCTATTTTTCTTTGCTCTGTTTACTATTTTTTTGCTCCTTAATCAACTGGATACTAAGAGCTCAGGTCTCAGGGGAGAGCTGAACGACAGCCCTGGCCCATGCCTCTGTGACAGCCTCTGTTTCCGCGCCTAGCACCGGCCATCCCATGTACCCCTCCAGATCCCTGAAAACTTCCACCCATGAATTCAGGAGTCTCCTGGCCAGAGTTCTCCCCTAGGGTAGTAATAGTGCATTTCCCTAACCTAATAACCCTTCCCAAGTAAGGAAATGATGGTAACGCTCTTAATAATCACAAAAATAATGCATACAGATCCACAAAAATACAAATAGAAAAGCGTAGGAAATAAAAAGTCTCCTGTTTTCCCAAATCTGGCTTCTGTCCCAGATTAATTTGCTAACAAATGGGGGAAAGGATTTTGCCCCAGATAGGATATTACTGCTGTGGGAGGCAGGACCAAGAGACGTACAACTTACCCAAGACTCAAAAAAAGTCCCAATCAGCTGCTCACACACCAACAATGCTGATACCCTATCAATGAGTAGAAATAGATCTACCGCATAGATATATAAGGAGTGATAGAAGTGTATGGTGAGTGTTTTAATTTTTTTAATCACTTCCGGGAATCGAACTCATGAGTATCTGCTTGCAAGGTAGCACTTATGCGGCTGAGCTAAATCCCCAGCCTCCTGAATCCTCTTCTGTGTGTCTTTATGAAGTGTGTTCAAACACACACAGCGCTGCTGCATGCCGCCCAGTGGAAGGGCAGGCCCATGGGTATGTTACGGCTTGCCCGCATTCACCTTATCACCACACCCAGCATCCTGCAGCTTTTCACTTTTCTTCAATGTCAAAATAACTATGAATGGTGAATTTTTGAGTTGATTCAGGACAGGGAGACAGCCACAGCAGCTTAACCAGAGACATTTGCCCATTTAAAGTATCCCAAATTGATTCACCAGGAAGCGAGCCATCCCTGTGAACCAGTGCCATGTGCAGGCCACCAACAGCTGCGGGACAGCCAAACCCAAGTCCCTTCTGCTGCATGGGCCAGCAAACAAGAAGAGCCAATACCCCCACCAACATCCATAAATGATCGGCTGATCCAGAGAAACATGCTGCGATGAGGTGAAATGCAATTTGATGCTGGTGGTGTTTGGTGTTTCACTGACCTTGCAGGTCCATGTTCAGTGGCCTGAACATCTATTCAGAGGATAACGGTAAGCAATGTGGCATCTATGAGGGATCTCCTTCTGAAGGTGGTAGCCATTGTTAATTCCCTATTATCTTGTTTTGAAGCCCTGTAACATTTTCATTTTTTTGCTGGGTTGGGGTTTTTTTCTGTGTTGTTTTGTTTTTGCTATATTCGATGGCATATGCAGCTATTTCTTCTTTTTTTTTTTTTTTTTTGTCTTTTTCGTTTTTATCGGTACCAGGAATCGAACTCACGACTGCCTGCTTGCAGGGCAGGCGCTTATGCTGCTGAGCTAAATCCCCAGCCCCTTATGCAGCTATTTCAACGATAGCAAGATATATTATGGTAGCCATTTTGGATTTACTATTGTCTTGTTTTGAAGTCCTTTGTTGCATCCATTGTTTTGTTTTATTGGTTCTATTCTGTTTTGTTCTGTTTGATTTTTACTATGTCTGAAGGTATTTGTAACTATTTTGAACACAATAAGAGGCATTATGGTAACTCAGTAATTCATGTTGTTTTGAAGTCCTGTATGACTTACACTGGTTTGTTTTGATTGGCTTTACTTTATTTTCTTTGGTTTTATCATTTTTTAAATAAAAAAGTAAAGTAGCCCGAGTTCCCAGGACGCTGGATCTAAGAAATGGGCCATGAGAATGAGCCTCTCCCATTCAGTGGCAGGGAGGCACCCTCTTACTGGGCTGGGCTCTTGTCAGCCTCCTCACCACTGGCCAGCTGTGGTCTCCTGCGAAGGTTATACCTCTGGGCTGCTTGCATCCCTGTAGAAACAGAAGCTGCTGCATTTGAACAGAAGCCCCCAGGTGACTTAAAGGTGGGCAGCTGCCTCCCTTCCAGATCGTGTATACAGATAGCATCAAGTATGAGTCAGGCCTGACAGCCCATGGAGGACTTTTCCCAATGCTTGGTTCTTTCCAGGGGTGCTGGCAGAAGCCTCGCTCTCATCCCATCTACCTCTGGGGAGTTCTCCCTCTATGTGCATGGGGCAGGGGGTATAGATAGGAAGGCAAGTCTCCCTGCCAGCCCGCTGCTGTGGGTTAGGACCATGTGTGTGTTGGGACGGGTGCAAGAGGTATAGGATGGATGGGAGAACAGGTGGGAGGATGGATGGGGGGCAGCCTGTATGGAGGGGAAAGGGGTGTGGCTATCTGATGAGAGCAGGTGGAAAGACAAGCAGAAACAAGGGGAGAGAAATATAGGAGAGCTGGCTGTAAACAAGCCTCGTAGACCCTTCGGCCTGGCACCAGCTATCTCTGGGAGGCACTTGATCTGGTTGAAAAGCAAGACCTGCTCACCATCCCAGACAATTGTTGTGATGACTGATTGAGTTAACCAGTTACCCTTGGCCTCCAAAGAGTGACCGTGAATTTCATTACTTGAAAGCTAACACAGATTTCATCTTTTGCTTCTCTTTCTCTCATGCTGTGGCTCAGAGAGATATTACAGGGCCACAGCTTAAGGTGCCAGGCATTGAATCAATCACCTGGGACCTGCCTGGTGTGGTGGGTGAAGGGTCTGAGATCCCTGAACTCTGGCAGCTTTCAAGTGAGACAAAATGTACTTGTTACATTTGATGACTCTAGAAAATGTCCAGAGCCGGTTGTTCCGGTAAAGATGGCAGAAAGATAAGAGCAGAATACAGAGGCTCCCTGAGACAGACAACTCAGATGCCAAAATAACACATTGTGGGGAGTCCCAGACAGAAAGAGATGGATCTTCTTAACCCAGGAAGAAACTGAAGTGAAAAGAGCCAGTCAAACATGCAGTCCCGGGGCTACACTGAGACAGCTAAGATTCCGTGCTCTTGCACACCTGAATTCCCAACCACAGTCACACTGAAGTGCAGTCACACTGAAATCGGAGGTCAGTGAGCCCAACA